AGAGATCAAACAAAAAACTATCTTCTAATTATTCTTAGTTTATAGTTAACTAAGTCAATTCAATACTATTACTGTCACAAATTTTTTCACTATTGATTATGTAATAATAGCTAACTCAAGATATTAAACCATCAAACTTTACAACTGTTTTTTAAAGCTCTCATAACTTGGGGCACCTGGTTCGCTCAGTCAGTAGAGCATGCAACCCTGGATCTCGGGGTTGTAAGTTCGAACCCCACACTGGGTGTAGAGATTACTTAAAAATAAAAATCTTTAGGGGCGCCTGGGTGGTTCAGTCGGTTAAGCATCCAGCTCTTGATTTCAGTTTAGGTAATGATCTCATGGGCAGTGAGATCAAGCCCCACATGGGACTCCACATTCAGCATGGAGTCTGCTTGGGATTCTCTTCTCTCCCTCTTCCTCTATCCCTCTCAAATAAATAAAATCTTTTAATAAAATAAAATAAAAATAAAATCTTTAAAAAGTAAAAAATAAAGCTACATAACTGACAGCACACACTCATATCAGTTATGTTAACAGAAGAGATCTTAAAGATCATATTTTATCTTATAAAACAACAGGTTTTCCTTATTTTTGTAATAAGCTCACAAATGAAAAGCTCATATTAAATAAATCACTTCCATCTGCCTAAAACAGTAGAGATATCTGATTAAATAATTTGAAATTGATGAACAAAATTGATAAGCACTCATAATTTATATCAGTTAAGGGAATAACTCGTCTTTGGGTGGAAGGTAGTAAAATATTAACTAGAAATCCAGTTGATTACTAAAAAGATAGTCTCAGAGTACCAATCAATGAGACTACTAGACTAACCACGAAAGCCATTGTCTAGGGAATTTCAATTAGCAGTTAAGTTTTCCCAATGCTTTCTCCCACTGGCACAGAATTAATAAACGTGTTTACATATTGCCTTGAGCAAACCAGAAGAGTACTACCAGTGCAATGTGAACCTTAATTATCCATTCATAATACCCTCCTGAATGAAAAATTTTCATTTATTCTTCTTCTGCTTCTCAAGTTTAAGTAACTTTAGAAAAGATCTTAGTAAAAAACACCAAAAATTTCATGGCAATGTACTTTTTATTTCATCCTTTTTCAAAGTTATATATAAGGACAAAAATGTAGTTCTTTGGAGACACAATGCCACCCAACACCTTATATCACCTACTCCCCAAAATATATAATATTATTCTGAAAGTGCTTGCACCCATATTTTTGCACTAGTTAAAGTGAAAGTGCAAAGTGTACCATTCTTAACTTCACCAAGTCACACAGATTTCAAAGAAGATATAAGAAAATAGAAATAAGGCAGTTAATTTATTCTCTGTTTTCCTCTAGAAAAATTGAACTTGTTTCCTCTGTAGGATAACATAATATAAAACGGAAATTTTGTTGTAATAGGAAAAGAGAGAGTAATAGAAGCTAGAGGACTGGGGAAAGGGGGAGATCCCACCATAAAGGGATAAATGGAGCTTATTTAGATGCAAGATAGGGACAAGTTTTAGGACAGATGTGTAATTATTATACCTTTAGTCAACTTAACTTTATATTACTTTTACCCTAAGAGCAGCACCTTTGAAGATATAAATCATTCTTTGAAAAGTCACTTCAGAGAACAAATTCTTCAGTTTCTCTCTAAATGTTTCTGAAAGATTAGGTAAACATATATCCTTAGATTTATAAAGTTTTGTTTAATAAGAAAAAAATAAGATAGCATATAGCTATCTTCAAATAATAATTCCAAAAGAGAAAATGAACTAATAGTATAAGAAATCAATTTAGAACTTATTTTAGCAAATGTTTCAGTATGAGGTCATAACTCACCAAAAAGACTGCTTGAGCTGATCTCAGCTATAAATATTAAAACTGTCTGTATAGAATTCAATCCCTTTCTCAAGGTAGAAGCCTGAAGAGATGTGGGACGAATTCTATGTTGGTAGATAAATAGTTCTATATCAGGAAAAAGTCACTGTTCCTTTAGCAATTCTGATATCACTGCTGATGATCTAGAAATTCCTACACTACTTAGCCACAGATGGCTAAAAGAAACTGTTACAGTCAAGGTCTAATGACTTAAACATACATGTTTATTTGAAATCAGAACAATTTGCTCTTGTAACTATTGTGGATATAGAATATATGTATAGTCTTTGTTGAGAGAAGCAAAAGTCTACTTCAAAAAATTCTGGGGGCACCTAGGTGGCTCAGTCACTTACATGTCTGTCTTTGGCTCAGGTCATGATCTCCAGGTACTGGGATGGAGCCCTGCCACTCAGCAGGGAATCTGCTTCTCCCTCCATCTGCTGGGGAGTCCCCACCCCCACCCCCGCCATGTGTGTGTGCACACATGTGTGTTCTCTCAAATAAATAAATAAAATCTTAGAAAAAGAAAAAAGAAATTCTGGAACTAACTGTATTCTAAATACTCAATGGTTAATGAATGAAAGTCCCCCACCCACCAACACCAACACACACAAAAAAAGTGATCCAGCCTCCTTCATTTAACTTCAAGTAAGATTTCAGGTATGAAAAACTTGGGAAAAGTACAAGCGCTATGGTTATATCTTATCTAAAGGACACTTACCCTACATTTCAAAATCTAAATCATAATGGTAAAGGCAAAAGGAAACCAAAAAGGGGTCCAACATTCAGAAGAGTTGCCAAAGTTTATTAAATTTAACAATTTACTCAAAATTGTTGGGGGAAAAAGCAGTCAATCAAGCTACATCTATTTTATACAGATTTCTAATAGAGTTAATTAAATATACACACACATATACATAGCGGCAGCACCACCACAGCAGATTAAAAGAGGAAGATAAGGGGGATATTCCATTGAAAAGACCCAATAAAAATTGGCAATAATAGAACACTAAATACAAGAGGAAATGAACTTAAAAAAAAAAAAAGCTAGGATTCAGCTGCTGAGAAAGGCAAAGGTTGGCTGCCACTGTGCGAGAAGTAGAAAACCTACTGCCACCCTCCTCAACTCTATACTGACAAGAGCCTTCAACCACTTAGGAAAGGCATGAAACCAATTCTTACCTGTGCTAACATAATGATGCAAAGCAGGGATGGGGGGCAGGAGGAACACACATGGTTATTTAAACTAAACTGAATAAAATTTAAAATTGAGTTTTTTCATTTGTTCTAGACACATTCAAGTGCTCAGCAGAAACATGAAACTGAGGGCTACTGTACCGGAGAGCATAGACATAAAATATTTCTATTACTTCAGAAAGTTGTATTGGATAGTGCTGGTTTAGAACATTTATATGCAATGTAATTACAGCCAGAGTTAAGACTAAATCTACTACCATTTTGTTTCTTAATTGCTTCATTTCTTTATTTTTGTAACCCTCTCTTTCTGTTCTTTTCATTAAGGAAGTATTTTTTATGATTTCATTATTTTTCTCTGCTACTGACTGACTGTCCCTCTTTTTTTTCACATTTTTAGTAGTTGCTAGAGGGCTTATATTAAATATCTTTAACTTTCCACAATCTATTTCCAGGCACTACTATACCACTTCATGCAACTGTAAGAACATTACAACAACAGTTATTTCCTCTTCCTATCCTTTGCACTGTCACACATTTTACTTGTGCATTGTTATTATGCATGCCCACTTCCATAATCTTTCAAATGTAATTTTGATGAATAAACTATTAGAAAATGCAAAACCCTGTAACAAAGGAACACTATTTTAAATACTTTGTCTTCACTAACATTAAAAATAAAGATTTTAAGAAAACTTATTTTAGAGATCTAGAATTCTGGCTCTTGCTAACCCAGTAAGAGATAAGAAACCAACATCTTTATCACTAATAACTTTTTACATCATGAAACCCTATATTGTCTATCCCAAGCTTCAATTTTAGCACTTAGGTAAATTATTTGATAAATTTGTTATCTCAAACTCAAAAGGGGTTTTAGGTTTTGTTTCACATCTCCTTAGCTTCATGTTTGGAAGATGCAGGACCTTAAGAGAATACAGAACTAAAGAAAATAATAAGATCTACTAAACAGCAGATTAGTAAATTATCTTTCATTTTAATAGTCATTTGAACTTAGAGCCTCCAGTTTCATATGTATAATACTATGAGTCATGTTCAAGATTTGGGTTTTGAAGATGCATATAGGTTTTTTGTTGTTTTTTGTTTTGTTATTTTTGTATGTAGGTTTTATCTATTTTATCTATCTTGTTTTTGCTGTTGGGGTCTTTTTTTAAATTACTTTTTAATCACTTGTTTCATTGTACCCATTATTTTCTTTCCACATTATATTCTTTACACTATTTTATTTTGTTAAGAAGCAATGGTTTCTAGATCATCTTTTCATTCAAAACTTTAGCTTTAGACACCAGACCAAGACATGACTTGTCCCATTCAACACAGTCTGTGCCTGAACTTCTCAAGGACACTATAGATACCCAACTGCTTCCCTGAGACAGACTGTGATCATCTCCATCACCCACAAGAGTCACCATTCCAGGTTCATTTCAAAAATAGATGCACAGAATATGGCTTTTGAGCCACTGGGCCAGCCCTACATTATACCTTTTGACTAAGTCTATTTTGTGGCTTATTTCTCATAAATATAGTTACACTGTTATCAGCAATGAGTAAATCTACTCCTTTTCATGGCAAGGTCACAACTCTCATATTTTTACTGGCTTACTAATGACTAAATTAAGCTCCTATTTCTAAAAAATTACACAGTGAGCTGAAAATGAACAGCTACTTCAGTATGGCTGCCAACACCATTAAAAAGAACTAATATAATCCAATCTTAATCTCAAAAGACCTAACAAAAACATACAAAAAAATGTGTACACTTAGTATTAAGCATTCATTTTTCACAAGAGTAAATTTCTAAAATTCAAAATCTAAGAATTTTTTAAAGTGTAAGTTAAAAATAGTACTAACCGATAAGCCCTAAACATCAGTTCCTCAATGAGAAGTTCTTGGAGACTTACCCAAGTCTTCCTAGCATCTCAAGCTCAGGAACTCGTGGTCCACATGTCTCTATCTGCAGTGGTTGGTATTCATATAGAGCTTCTTCAAGCTTTTGAATAGGTGCTAATGAAATATGCTGACCCTGTTAGAAAAATGAAGGAAAGCAATACCTTTTAATAATATTTTCATATTACTACTTATTTGTAGACTAAATTCCTTCCTCACTTTAAAAATATTATCCTGGGGCACCTGGGTGGTGCAGTCGGTTAAGCATTGGACTCTTGGTTTCGGCTCAGGTTGTGATCTCAAGGTCATGGGATTGAGTCAGGCTCAGTGCAGAGTCTGCTTAGAACTCTTTCCCTCTCCCTCTGCCCTTCCCCCTACTCTAAAATAAATAAATCTTTTTAAAAAATAAAATAAAAATAAAAATATCCATTGGGGAAGTCTTGCTGGCTTAGTCGGTGGAGCATACAACTATTGATCTCAGGGTATTGAGTTCAAGCCCCACACTGGATGTAAAGATTACTTAAATGAGTAATTTTAAATGGAAATAAAATTTAAAAATATCATCCATGAAGTCTGCTAATTCATGGGTACAATTCATTATATTACTGAAACCCACATTTTGTAATTTATAGTAATTGACACATGATTTGAAAGAAGAAAACTGGGAGGCCTGGGGGGCTCAGTTGGTTAAGCGGCTGCCGTCAGCTCAGGTCATGATCTCAGGGTCCTGGGATGGAGCCCCGCATCAGGCTCCCTGCTCAGCGGGGAGTCTGCTTCTCTCTCTCCACCTGCCTCTCCCCAGGCTTGTGTGCTCTCTCCCTCTCACTCACTCTCTCTCTCAAATAAATAAAATCTAAAAAATAAATAAATAAAAATAGAGGAAGAAAACCAAATCCATCATTAAATTCAAATTTAGCCTTAAAGAGTAAAGTTATTCAACATCAATGGTAGAATTCAGCAAATATAAAAGTGTAGTCCATCCTCACATTTTCCTATTTATTATCCAGCTCTGAGAGTTTTGGTAAAATCAGTGTTTTATTGAAAGCTATAATTAGGGAAGAATACTAATGAAATTATTCTCCACAAAATTTTGCCATATAAACATCTACTCTCTTAAGTCTTTACAATGAAATCAAACTTACTTACCAAATGTGTGTATATGATGTCTACTTACATACACACACAGGGAATTTTGTGCTAAAAACTAAGTTGAATGAAACATCTAGGATTTTTCTGAAAACAAATAATTACTGAATAACCAAAATAAAAGGACTGTATTTGATTACAAGCATACAAAATAAAATATCATTCAGCCATATAACATCATTACACTGAGATTTATCATACATCTGAGCATAGATCCTAATTTTTAAAAATCCCTATTTTTTTATATAGTCCCTGTTTTCAGATTCTAACTCTAGTTCTGTTATTTTTCTTTGTATAGTGCTCATCAAGTTCTTTATTTCCTAACTTTTTAGTAAAAACCAGCTCTTATAGTTATTAATTTTACCATTTTCTAGTTTATAGTTTATTTCTGTTGCTACCTCCCTTAGTTTCCTTTACTTTTCCCCTAAATTGCTAAGTTGAATATATAGTACATTCTATTTTATTTAAATAAATAAATAAAAACCATGACTTATAAGTGACAAAGTGCAACTGAGGCAGTGAGAAACAACCACTGACAATGTTTGCAGCTGACTTGTGGTTTTTCTCTTCAGCAAGTTTTAATCCCATTTAGCATCACCCTAGCTAGTTCACTGTCACGTATTAATAGCTTCTCTGGGGCACCTGGGTGGCTCAGTCGTTAAGCGTCTGCCTTCGGCTCAGGTCATGATCCCAGGGTCCTGGGATCGAGTCCCACATTGGGCTCCCTGCTCAGCGGGAAGCCTGCTTCCCCCTCTCCCACTCCCCCTGCTTGTGTTCCTGCTCTCGCTGTGTCTGTCAAATAAATAAATAAAATCTTAAAAAAAAAAAATAGCTTCTCTGACAATGTCACCTCAAAAGTCCTTCATCAAACATTGACAAAGGACACGAACAGACATTTCTCCAAAGAGACACAAACTGCCATTAAGCACATGAAAAGATGCTCAACAACAATAATTAGTAAGAAAATGCAAATCACCATAAGAGACTCTTAATTTCAGGAAACAAACTGAGGGTTGCTGGAGTGGAGGGGGGTGGGAGGGATAGGGTGGCTGGGTGATGGACACTGGGGAGGCTATGTGCTATGGTGAGTGCTGTGAATTGTGTTAAGACTGATGAATCACAGAGCTGTACTCCTGAAACAAATAATACAGTATATGTTAATTTAAAAAAAAAGAAAATGCAAATCAAAACCACAATGATATACCACTTAACACTCTTGACCATTTAGGATGGCTATTATTCAAAACAAACAAACAAAACCACAGAAAATAAGTTTTGGCAAGGATGTATAGAAATTGGAACTCTTGGGGCGCCTGTGTGGCTCAGTCATTAAGCATCTGTCTTCAGCTCAGGTCATGATCCCAGGGTCCTGGGATCGAGCCCCGTATCGGGCTCCCTGCTCTGCAAGAAGCCTGCTTCTCCCTCTCCCTCTCCCCCTGCTTGTGTTCCCTCTCTCGCTGTGTCTCTCTCTCTCTGTCAAATTTGTAAATTGGAACTCTTGTGCATTGCTGGTGGGAATGTAAAATGGCACAGCCACTATGGAACACAGGAGGGTGATTCCTCAAAATATTAAATATAGAATTACCATATGAACCAACAATTCCATTCCTGGGTATATACATAAAAGTAGTAAAAGCAGGAACTTGGAACATATATTTGTACACCCATGTTCATAGCATCATTATTCACAGTAGCCACAGGAGCAACCCATGTGTCCATGGATGGATGAATGAATAAACCAAATGTGGCATATACACACAATGGAATATTACTTAGCCTTAAAAAGGAAGAAATTTTGACACATGTTAAAACATGGGTGAATCTTAAAAACATGCTAAGTGAAAGAAGCCAGTTATAAAAGGACAAACATTATATGATTCCAATTACCTGAGATTTCTAGAGTAGTCAAACTCATAGAAACAGAAAGTAGAATGGTGGTTGTCAGAAGATAGGGTGAGGCAAGAAGGAGATGGGGGGTTAGTATTTAACAGGTACAGAGTTGCAGTTGGAGAAGATTGAAAAAATCTGGAAATGGATGCGCTACAACGTGAATGTACTTGATATCGAGAACCATATACTTGGGGCACCAGGATGGTGGAGCTGGTTAAGTGTCCGACTCTTGGTTTCAGCTCAGGTCATGATCTCATGGTCCTGAGATCGAGCCCTGCATTGGGCTCCAGCTAAGCATGGAGTCTGCCTGAAATTCTCTCTCCCTCTTACCCTCCTGCTCATGCTCTTTCTCTCTCTTTCTCAAATAAATCTTAAAAAAAAAAAAAAGAACCATATACTTAAAAAAGAGTTAAAAATGGTAAAGCTTACGTATTCATATTTTACCACAATTTTAAAAAATGGTTTTAGATATTCTTATTTACTCATTTACCTGGCTAGAGTAATACACAGGAAAAAAAAAGAAGTAAAATACCTAGAAAACTTTGTTAACATTATTTTAAACCTTAACCTCCATATGTTTCACAACTTTTCTAAATAAACATCAAACTGTCAAGCTAAATCTTATACTATTTCAGAGAAATCCCATCTCTGAACAATGGATCTGAGTACAGGGGGTTACACAGGTTAAGAAGAGGACTGCCTAAGTGGGATATTTTGAGTGACATTTTGACATTCCTGTTTCAAAGTGTCTTCTTCATAAGCTGCCAAGTACTAAACCCTCCTGCCATGATACAAAAAGTCCAGTATTAGTGTCACATTGTTAGGTTAGGGGGGAAAAGAAGAGAAATGAAAAAGAAAAATTATAAGAATTAAAGAAGGAAACTTTATAGTCCTCCTAACATAGTAATGCAGATCACTTTATTACTCCATTTTCATTTTATAAATCATGCAAGGTCCAGAAAAGATGATACAGAATGGCTATTTTCAAGAGCTAGAATACCTTCCAGGGAAAATAATATTCAAAAAAGACAGGCTCTCTTAAGTCATTATAGTGGGAAACATACTAAAAGTGATCATTCACTAAACACCAACTATAAAGCCCAAGTTACTAAAGTGATGAAATCATATAATCCAAAATCTTCTCTGCAAGTTTGTGGGCACATAAAATACCACCCAGTATAATCACAGTTAACATTATTTACTCAGTGCCAGGCACTGGTCTAAGGACTTTTTATGCATTATTTCATTAGTATTCACAATAGTTTTATGAGATAAATACTGTTATTCCTACTTTACAGATAGGGAACAGGGGTTTAGATATATGACTTGGCAAGGTCACTCTGTATTAATGGCAGGTTGAGGATTAGAAGTCAATTCTTTTAGATTCTAAAGCCTGTGTTCTTTTCCCCTAACTTCTTTATTTTATAAATAAAGAAGCATTTAAAATACAAATTTTCCGGGTGCCTGGGTGGCTCAGTTGGTTAAGCAACTGCCTTCGGCTCAGGTCATGATCCTGGAGTCCCCGGATCGAGTCCCGCATCGGGCTCCCTGCTCGGCAGGGAGTCTGCTTCTCCCTCTGACCCTCCCCCCCTCATGTGCTCTCTCTCTCTCATTCTCTCTGTCTCAAATAAATAAAATCTTTAAAAAAAATAAATAAATAAAAAATAAAATAAAATACAAATTTTCCAAAAGTCATGTAGTAGTAAGAATCCAATCTCCTAATTCCTGTCCAGTATGGGTTCTACCACATACTACCTTTTAATATCTTATTTTTAGATAATATAATAATGGTCGTTCAATTTAAAAGTTTGATCTTAATAAGTAAATCCTAGATAGTTTAAGATAAATTTGTATACAAATTCTAATAACTTCTATTTGGTCAAAACAACACAGGCTCAAAAAGGATTTTTTTAAATTATGGCATTTAGAGAACAGTAAACATCACTCAGTGGTAATTCTGTTTACCATGAGAATGATAAAACAAAGTTCATAAATGATGCACAACTTAGCCTTGTAATGTTCAACTGATCTTTCCCCTAATAAACTTGGTGTGAGGTAGATGCCAAATTTCTCAAATCTAAAGCTGGGGAAGAACTTACA